TTTTTGGATAACGGAGTATGCAATTTCTCTTCGGAAACAGCGTAAATGTAGCCTTCGAACCACTGCTTTGTTAAATTCGCCATTTTGAATAAAAACAAAACTTTCAAGCCACAGACGATAATTTTGACTTTTCAAAACATAGTACAATTGCAGTTACTTCTTTTGCAGCAAACGATTTTTTATTACCTAAAAAATGTGCGAACAGCCTCTGTACATCAAAGAATTTAGTTTTCTGGCTCCATTTTCGTCTAGCGAACATAATAAACCTAATGTCTCTACAATACCGTTACGAAATGTCTAGGCGCGGTAAGATAGCTTTCCCGCAAGGCAGGTTTAGGTTTGCCGTAAAATGGCAAGGGAAGGCAGGATTGCAACGTTTGGCGAGAACTCGTCCATTTGGTGGCAAAATTTGCGATATACCATGGACGGATGGAGAACCTTCTGGAACGAGTTCTTACCGGTTTAGCCCAGAAAGTTCTCGAACACAAGCCGAAAGCTATAGAAACCCTGCTGGTCCGCAGTCAGTTAGTGTGTCTCAGAGAGTGTGTCTCGTCTAGCGAGTCAATCCCTGCGGAGTCGATCGAGTTAGCAGTCGGACGGCGAGTGCCGAGTGGGTCGTCTAGTGCACCGAAGGAGTCTGTTAGTGTATCGCGGTTAGTGCATCGTCGAAAGAGCGTGATGAGCTGCGGGAACGACTGGACCGAAGAGTCGGGAGCTGTGCTCGTGTGTCGTCGAGTGCATCGCGAGTTGTAGCGTGGAGAGTCTCGAGAGTACGTGGAGTTTCGAGAACGACCAAGCGGAGTCGGAAGCTGTCTCCACCGTAATAGCCTGATAACCTGAAGGCTGTGTCGCTAATTGTTCCAGCGTGTTTATAGTAGATCTTCGACGACTGTAAAAGTGTTTTGAGCTGTCCTGATTAATACCGGCCGATAAAGTGTGTTTCGATACTTCATCCAGTGTCGTCGTTATTCACTCCAAATCTACAAACCCCGTACGAACGTGAAGGAAGAATATAACTTAACAACTGGTGTCAGAAGAAAGAAAAACGCAACAATACCTTTAAGAACAAATTGAGTACTAGAGTTACACCTTAATTTTCTTCATCGTTTTTGATTGTCTTCGTACGGAATACTTTAAGCGTTTGCTGTTTGTTACCAGATTCGATGTCGAAATCCGTTTTTCTGAAAATCCTGTGTCATGTTTACTGGTGGCAGTTTCGTACATTTTAAGGGGGAGAAAAAAAGAATTCAGCTACACAAGCAATTAATATATACTCTTGTTAAAAAAAAAAAAAGGAAAATGTGTATGTGAATATTAAAAATTTCAGTTTCCTTTATCGCCAGTAATTCAACCATTCTTGTATCCTAGCCTTTTTAATTAATAATGAAAAAGAAACCAAATATGTTAAAAGGGAAAGCTTTACTCAGCATCTGCTGTCTCCAGTTACGTTGTATAAAAGTAGCTTCATGTGATCAATTATGCTATATAAAGTCAATACAGCGGTAAAAAAAAAAAAATATATGCGTTATATAATGAGTCGGATATTTTTAAGACGCATGCTTTACTGCAGAAAAAAAAAAAAAATAAAAAAAAAAAAAAAAAAAAAAACAAAAAAAAAAAAAAAAAAAAAAAAAAAAAAAAAAAAAAAAAAAAAAAAAAAAAAAAAAAAAAAACAAAAAAAAAACAAAAAAAAAAAAAAAAAAAAAAAAAAAAAAAAAAAAAAAAAAAAAAAAAAAAAAAAAAAAAAAAAAAAAAAAAAAAAAAAAAAAAAAAAAAAAAAAAAAAAAAAAAAAAAAAAAAAAAAAAAAAAAAAAAAAAAAAAAAAAAAAAAAAAACAAAAAAAAAAAAAAAAAAAAAAAAAAAAAAAAAAAAAAAAAAAAAAAAAAAAAAAAACCTGCAGCACAAAAAATGTAAATGTTAAACACAGAATATTTGGGGAAAAAATTGAAGCCTGGAGAGGTTTGATATAATTAAATCATTTTGCGTGGTAACGTTTGAGAAAAGGATAATTTTTTTATCCCCTCTCTCTTTACATTGAAGAAAAGGTGGAGCACAATAATGACCTTCGTGTTATCACGTATAACCGATATGTTAGCAGTTGGAAGAGTCTTAAAAATTGTTAATTAAGCAATCTGTTCCTTGTACTATTTGTAAGTTATTTAGCAGCGTTTTTAGTTAATAATATGATAATTGTTGAATTATTGAATTAAACATTAGGACATCAGTGCAGCTGATTATGTGATGTATTGTGAGGCAATTTTAATTAAAATATCTAAGTCTTTTATAATATGTACTTCTGAATTCGTGAAAGTGTAAACGATGTATTAATAAGATGCAGATTTTGTTGCGAAATCTGTTAGGGATAACTAAAAGCGTGAAACGCATTTAAATTCCTTCGCAAGAGGCAGTTGGAATCAAATCGGTGGTGTCAAAATATTATTTTTAAAATTGAATCATTGCAAAATATGCTAAATCGGACTTTCCTCAATCTCATTTTTAAAAACTTGTTTTTGTCGAATGTATTTTCGTTTCAGGTTCTCTAACTTGAAATCATTTTGAGTTTTTAAATCGGAATAAATTTTGTATTAATTTTGCTGATACAGAATGACGTATAAAAGTTATAAAATTGCAAATTGCAATCGTATGTGGCAGTGCAATATACTATATGTGCAAACATAACTTATTTTTATTGCACTTTGCTTTATTGTGTTTAGAAGACAATGCACGTTTTTACAAATCAAAGACCACCCAACCGGTATAGTAGCTAATCTTGCTGACCGCCATGCCGAAGCGGCCGGGCTCGAATTCCGGTGAAGGCATGGATGTTTGTAAATGCATATAGTGTCCGTGCGGCATGGGGGCATTCTAAATATGTGGCGAACCGAAAGTCTTTCGAGAGGTTGCTTGTAGGAGAAGAGAGGTGGAAGACCCTCGGACCCCTTACCCCCCCCGGGTGCTCTCCATCAAAAATTTGGGGGGGGGGGGGGGGGCAGAACGGACCTAAATCGCACTGTCACCTGTAAGGTGCTCAAGGCTGTTGCTAATGGCAGGCGTATCTTGCGTTCCTTGCCACGAGGAACTCCGTAGGCTTGGGCTAACTATAAGTCAGACATCACCCAACAACAACGAATGTTCACAATTATTTTCGTTATTATCTCAGAAGGGCTGTTTGTCTCGAAACGGCATTTTGCGTCGAATCACTATAAACGGCTGTATCACTTTCCATACTCTTGCCAATAAATATGATCGCCATGTATTATATGAAATTAAATAATGAAGAATCTGCATGAATGTATGTATATTTGTCGCTTCGTGAAAAAACAACTGTACCTAGAGCCATCCAATTTTGAACAACGTAGTCCTCCATCCGAATATGGGTACGTGAAAGCCCGAATCTTGAATTTCGAATTCGTTTTATTATCTATTTCATATTTTTTTTAACTTTTAACGAACTGTTGATTAAGAAACTGAACGATTTCAAAGCGAGTAGTGGCAACACACTGTACGAAATAAAATATTTTTATCTCTATCGGAAATTCTAAAGATATGCTTTTTTAAATACTTTTAGCCTAAAGAGCCGTTAGCCGTTAGCGAAACGTGTATGTATATGTAAATGAAAAAACGCCCTTTTACGCTTAATTTAATATCTGAAAGCTGTTAGATTTTATTTAATTATATTATTGAACTGGGTTGAATAAAAATCTTACTCCTGCCTCGTGCGTCTTCACGTAGCAACTTGCGATGACGGTTTTCATGTTTCGGTGGTGGCGGCATCTATCGATAAGAGCTGGATATGCCATAGTTTCCATCTGCTAGCATCGAACCGCCAACCTCTTGGTTCGCAGGCGAATACTTAGTGATTAATCTAAAGAAATTCAGGCGTTAAATTTATAATCAGTCTTTGGTAGAGTAATATTTAATTTTGACTATTGTTAAAATTATCTATTTTCAGAATTTTTCATTTTCAGATTCTTCCAGTATATGTAGAGTTAGGCAAAAAAAGCAACGTTAAATTGATGCAGATTTTTTATTAATGTCTTTCGAATTCAAAGCTGTCTAATACTGTTCTTATGAGTGTCTCACACTCTCCACTTTAAAAAAAAAAGTGTTAAAAGGAAAGACCTATGTTAGTTAGGCGGCTTCAAAATTGTTGAGATTTTATATAATTCAGTCTGAGATTGCTTCTTTATCTAGTTTTGCGTTTAACTTCGAAATATTTTTCTTTCATACTCTTACCTAAATATTCATAAATCTCATACACAGACTTGCAGTTCTCGCAACGCATTTCTTCAGTATTTTGCTGAAATTAAGATGATGAGCAATCATATGTTTGCCGCTAAATGTTGAAGTGATTGAAAGCATTTCATGTGTCATTTTAAAATAAAAGATTTAAATGTTCAATTTTAGAGAGAGTCAAGATTTTTTAGTAGTTTAAAAGATTAGAAAATTAGGATTCAAGCATTGAACAGGTAATTGTTTGGTGAATGCTACGGAAAAAGTTCTTGCAGTTAACTATGCATGATTAATATACAAATAATGACAAACTCTAGTAGGTTAAAATAAGTATAATGCGGTATGTATTAGGTAAGCATACATATTATATGTAATGGAAAACTAACTGCCCGAACATACAGCTGGACATACAGCATTTCCTGGTCTGTCCTGCCGTCGCAGCCGCCCTCTTTCAAATTGATAATGGCTTGACCAGAGACATTCTTTTCAGAATCGAGGATGTGGCCAGGGCAGTGCTTCATGTTTTTGGCCCTATTTGACCTCTTGTCCGCATTTCTTCCTATGTTTCTCTCTCTCTCTTTCTCTTAGCACTTGCCCTGGACACAAAAACAACAACTAAATGCCCGTGTTTCCAGTTCCCCAGATATTTACTTTATGGCAAATGATGGGAACCTCGAGCTCGAAATGTGCTTTTATCTGTTTCAGTACATTATACAAAAGATGTAAAGGCACTGCTTTAATGTTTTTTTTTTTTTTTCTTTTTGCAGGTGTTGAATAGTCAGTACACATTCAGTGAAATGTATCTGAACTGCATTAGCCAGCAGATGGACCAACTAAAGCCTTTTGGTGACGTTCCAAAGAAACTGACAGTCGAAATCAAGAGGTCATTTGTTGCCACGAGGACCTTTGTCCAAGCTTTGTCTATTGGAAGAGATGTTGTCAAGTTCATCCAAGATGTAAGTTCTGTCTTAAAATTCTTATTGTTAGGTATGTATATGTGCATGCACGTTGATAAGTATAGGTATATTCAGATTTACAGACGTTCTTACATGCCCCAGTCATTTTAAAATGGATGCATGTAAATTTTTATATAAGGGGCGGCTCATATCTGAAAGAACATCGAAGCGAATTTTCTCTTACGGACGAAGATGTAAAGCGGAAAGAGCCTTTCTTTTCTGTAGAGTCAAATCCAAATTCTGGAATGTTTTCGAATTTCTTGAATCCTTCATATAAGAAAACATCAGAGAAAGAAGGAAGGAGGGTTTAGTTATTTAATCGAAGCAAAATTTATAAACATAATCTGTGTTTCATGAAATGTCAATTTACGAACACACTGCTTAAAATTACAGCGTGGCTCATATTGTACACATCTACCAATCTTGAGTTGGCAACCTGGCCAGAATGCACATGTGTGGCGTATCTACATACGCACAGATCTAGGTATCAACAGTTATGGAGTTATCACAGCTAATGAACAATGAGTTTAGGATAAAGAACTGCTAGGATTAAGAACGAAAGCTTTGTTTTTGTACCATATGCCTCAATATCCTGCACACCTGGCGATTTGGCGACGAGAATTGGTCCCTCCACGATTTAGCGGCGAAGTAGTCAAACTGGTATATATCTATGCGAGCTTTGTTTCTTTATATGCTCGTTCTTTGATTTGGAGAAACGTTTCCGAGAAACGAGCTTCTCTTCTCATACCACTGGAAGTTTCCTAGCCGAAACTTGTTTCGTTGCATTTTCCCTTCTAGCCACGCGATACATTTTGCAGAGATAAAAATGTTTCACTTAAAGCTCTGACCCTCATATGCTCTCTCCAAAGAACTGGTTTTAGCGTAAGTCAACTAATCATCCGAAACACGAAAATTCGCAGAAATGTTTCTTTCGATGAGCCGTTGAGGGTAGATGGTAGATGTGATACTGGTTTTAGTATAACCATATTATGTTTCCCGATGCAGAATTGTTTCTTTCGATGAGCCGTTGAGGGCAGATGGTAGATGTGATACTGGTTTTAGTATAACCATATTATGTTTCCCGATGCAGAAATGTTTCTTTCGATGAGCCGTTGAGGGTAGATGGTGGATGTGATACTGGTTTTAGTATAACCGTATTATGTTTCCCGATTCAGAAATGTTTCTTTCGATGAGCCGTTGAGGGTAGATGGTAGATGTGATACTGGTTTTAGTATAACCATATTATGTTTCCCGATGCAGAAATGTTTCTTTCGATGAGCTATTTAGGGTAGATGGTAGATGTGATACTGGTTTTAGTATAACCATATTATGTTTCCCGATGCAGAAATGTTTCTTTCGATGAGCCGTTGAGGGTAGATGGTGGATGTGATACTAGTTTTAGTATAACCGTATTATGTTTCCCGATGCAGAAATGTTTCTTTCGATGAGCCGTTGAGGGTAGATGTGATACTGGTTTTAGTATAACCATATTATGTTTCCCGATGCAGAAATGTTTCTTTCGATGAGCCGTTGAGGGTAGATGGTGGATGTGATACTAGTTTTAGTATAACCGTATTATGTTTCCCGATGCAGAAATGTTTCTTTCGATGAGCCATTTAGGGTAGATGGTAGATGTGATACTGGTTTTAGTATAACCGTATTATGTTTCCCGATGCAGAAATGTTTCTTTCGATGAGCCGTTGAGGGTAGATGGTAGATGTGATACAGGTTTTAGTATAACCATATGTTTCTCGATGCAGAAATGTTTCTTTCGATGAGCCGTTGAGGGTAGATGGTAGATGTGATACTGGTTTTAATATAACCATATATGTTTCCCGATGCAGTTGAGGATTGGAGAAGTAGAAGCTTTCAATAGAACAAGCTCTGTTACTGATGCTCAATGGACATTGCTTTGGAATAACTAAGATCGGTAAAATGCGCCCTGGGACGGAGTTTGGTTCTAACAAGACGTCGTGTTGGGCAAGCATAAGTTCAGTCATACTCATATGCCTCATATGCTCTCTCCAAAGAACTGGTTTTAGCGTAAGTCAACTAATCATCCGAAACACGAAAATTCGCAGAAATGTTTCTTTCGATGAGCCGTTGAGGGTAGATGGTAGATGTGATACTGGTTTTAGTATAACCATATTATGTTTCCCGATGCAGAATTGTTTCTTTCGATGAGCCGTTGAGGGCAGATGGTAGATGTGATACTGGTTTTAGTATAACCATATTATGTTTCCCGATGCAGAAATGTTTCTTTCGATGAGCCATTTAGGGTAGATGGTAGATGTGATACTGGTTTTAGTATAACCATATTATGTTTCCCGATGCAGAAATGTTTCTTTCGATGAGCCGTTGAGGGTAGATGGTGGATGTGATACTAGTTTTAGTATAACCGTATTATGTTTCCCGATGCAGAAATGTTTCTTTCGATGAGCCGTTGAGGGTAGATGGTAGATGTGATACTGGTTTTAGTATAACCATATTATGTTTCCCGATGCAGAAATGTTTCTTTCGATGATCCGTTGAGGGTAGATGGTGGATGTGATACTAGTTTTAGTATAACCGTATTATGTTTCCCGATGCAGAAATGTTTCTTTCGATGAGCCGTTGAGGGTAGATGGTAGATGTGATACTGGTTTTAGTATAACCATATTATGTTTCCCGATGCAGAAATGTTTCTTTCGATGAACCGTTGAGGGTAGATGGTAGATGTGATACTGGTTTTAGTATAACCATATTATGTTTCCCGATGCAGAAATGTTTCTTTCGATGAGCCGTTGAGGGTAGATGGTAGATGTGATACTGGTTTTAGTATAACCATATTATGTTTCCCGATGCAGAAATGTTTCTTTCGATGAGCCATTTAGGGTAGATGGTAGATGTGATACTGGTTTTAGTATAACCGTATTATGTTTCCCGATGCAGAAATGTTTCTTTCGATGAGCCGTTGAGGGTAGATGGTAGATGTGATACAGGTTTTAGTATAACCATATGTTTCTCGATGCAGAAATGTTTCTTTCGATGAGCCGTTGAGGGTAGATGGTAGATGTGATACTGGTTTTAATATAACCATATATGTTTCCCGATGCAGTTGAGGATTGGAGAAGTAGAAGCTTTCAATAGAACAAGCTCTGTTACTGATGCTCAATGGACATTGCTTTGGAATAACTAAGATCGGTAAAATGCGCCCTGGGACGGAGTTTGGTTCTAACAAGACGTCGTGTTGGGCAAGCATAAGTTCAGTCATACTCTAAGACACTATACCCATTGCACATATTGGCATATGTTATGAAAGCCTTAACGCATCACCTCAAAAGAGTGCGTCCAAACAGAACAAACACATTATTTTGAGGGCTTACTAATGTCTGCCTGTTGTCCATACTATATGCTGCCGTAAATGCCTATGTGTTTACTGTTATTGCACAGTTATTTAACTCTGACTTCTAACGGGACAACATATGTGTCCCACTAAAAGTTTAAAAATTACTGCTTGGTTAAAATACTTAAAATCTCCTGAATGTTCAGGATCATCTTCCAGTCGTTGGAAAATCAAACCGCTGTGCTCTTTGTACACAAATGAACGTAGAGAAAAGAACAAATATGAGTTGCCCAATGTGTCATGTTGTGTTATACAAAGAATGCTTTACCATGTACCATACGATGTAAAATCTGTTTCATACAATAAACCTTTCCAGAATAATAGGTGTGCTTATAGTAAGTCGATCGTTACGTGTGGGACATGTATGTATCCCACCATTAACTACGGCTGGGACATTTATATTCAAGCCTTTGGCTTGAATACCGTTATTAAAAAAAATCCCAGATCTTAAATTTACCTTATTTATGCCATATTTTGTTCACTTGTACAGAAAACTGGTTTTTTTTTTTTTTTTTTTTTTTTAATTCAAAGGTTACAACAAGCAATCGGTATCTTTCTGTTGTTTTTGAGAAATTTGATACAATATAGCCTAACCCATATATTTACTCAGAAGTTACGTCTAAAATTTAATACATGAAGTTTATAAAATAAGGTTGGTTTCACCCATATAATTTAATAAAAATTGCCTAGTACATTGGAACAGCTAAAATTTTTAAACCTTTTTCAGAGTCTTTTTTTCAATCAAAGCAAGCGTAAAGAGAAAGGGATTATTTCAAGAGTTTAATAAATATAATAATAAAGAAATATAAAAATAAAGCTGAAATATAATAATAAAAGTACGCTGCGCGGGGAAAAAAAAGGGGGGGAGATCTATACCTCCCGTTTTACTGGGCCGATTGACGCAATTCAAATTACGTTTTTCATGTCTCGAAAGCGCGACTTAGAATATATATTATATATATATATACTGTATGTGATGAACCAGCTTTTGTAAGGAATAAATAGATTGTTGAAGAATCATAAATGTAGTCGTAGCTTAAATTATCAGACGATAAGTTTAAAAAACAGGATCCATTTATTATTGGTCAGGAGAAATAGCAGTTACAAAATCAGATATCCGGAGTAAATAAAAAAAAATTACTAATAACTTTTTGTATGAAGTTTACTGCATCGTGCATTAAAAGAAAAAGCCCCCGATATTCCTTTGCGAGTCCTTTTATAACCTCTGGAAAGGCGGAGCTTCCAAGAAATGACGTCAGCCTCGTCAGCGAATCCAGTTCGCTTTAAATATCTCGAGAACATTCTATAACTGTACGTGTAGAAAAGGCGGGAAAAACAACTTGACTACGGGGCTGTGGATTTAATTCCACGTACTTTCAAATAAGAGAACGTCGCCATCAAAAAATGAAAAGAACATACAGTTAGAATTTTAAGTGTATTCTTGACTATGGAATTTTATTATTACAAATATATATATATATATAATTTATTTCTATATATTTTTATATATTTATTAACTAACTTTGCAGCAATTGCGCAAGTAGTAATAACTTGTTTTCGCACTAAATGGATTTAAGATCATACAACATTATATATATATAGAGAGAGAGAGAGAGCGTCGTTCTAATATAGGTATTCTGACACAA